TAAATTTAAAAATCAAATGACCTTCCTCATTTTATTCAGTGTCTAATTGTAGTGATGAAAGTTAGCTTCTCTGCTGCTTCTATTACAAATACTGTACAGGCAGCTCAGCTGAACCAGAGCGAGATGTATCCTGTCTCATCTCAACAGAATTGTTTGCTAGTTAGTTGAATGAGTGCTCTGGCCAGAAGAGTTGTGTAGGTATCACTAGCCACTTAATTTTGCCTGAAAACTGCTATTAGAGATGTTGTGGAAGTAGGAAGAAAACGATGAATAGGTGGAGTCAGGAATAAGTTATTTGAACCATCTATTGGGGGAAAGATGCCTTTGTAACTGTAAACCAGTAAGACGATATGTAATGGAACTCTTTCTGCTCTGTTTGTCGTTCCTCATCATATTACAACTAGAGTTCAGAAAACTGTACAGCATGGTGCAGGAAGAAGGTGGTAACAGCCCCAGTCTCTCTTTGTAGGCGCTGAGGTGTGGCAGTTACATAAATGGAAAACAATCTTATCTGAAATCATTAATATCATGGTACAAATGAGTCCTTGCATTTTTGACTACTGTTCCTGAAAGTCGCTGTTAGAATAGGTGCATATGAAAAGGACAGAGTCCCACACTACTTTTTCTACATCTGCTTGAAGCCAGTTATTGAAGAGCATTTTCCTGTGGGTTGGCAAACCTTTTTGTGTGTGTGTGCCAGATAGTTACTAATTGTTCAAAAATGCTTCAATCTAGCATTTGCTGCAAGAGGGGACACATTTGATCTTGATAAATTTTGAACTTTACAGTGTTTAGGCAGTATAAGAAAATATGCTCTTAAAACTTTAAAAATGAAGTTTCCAACTAAATAAAATGTAATTCTCTAAATGGTCTCACGTTCGTGACATCCTTTTGTGAAATGCAACATAAGTTAGAAACCAAGCAGTGGAGTGGGGATGAGATGCTTTGTGTCCTAATACCTTCATTCGGTCTCTGTGGCATCATCTTGGTAGTTACGAGATTCGAGCATAAAAGGAACCCCTCAACACCACA